ATAAACCAATGCTAGGTATTCAGTTCAATAATGACCGAGAACAAATCTGTTTTCAGAAAGGGCTGTGCAGTACTACGTAGATAGAATCGGTTTAACTTTGGCATTGACTCTCTTAAGCTCGCGTAATTTCATTGTCATACTATTTATATTAAACGTTAACAAACGATAAAAGTATCCTGCTACCTATATACACAGCGGAGATAAGTAATGGGTTATATACTGCGACAAACAATATTCCATTGTAACTGGTGAAAAGGTTTTTAATTGGGCAGAGATGTAGGGATGCAAATGATGCGAGCGAAAGTATATTCGCGACATAGAAACAGATTTCGAAGACGTGCGAACATCTGTGTCCTTCCATGCGACGCGACGTACATGAAGATATTGTGATTTCTAGTGAGGTCAGCAGCCGTAAAATAGTCATTAGCGTTCGCAAGAAAAGCAGCAATATAAACAAGAACAGGAGTGGCAATAGCCCTGGTTCTCACCATCAGCGGATACTCCGAACGGCTGTTGTGCTGAAGGTAGAGCCACCGACAGCGATCGCCGCACGGGTTGAGAGAGTAGGTGTATCTTCCTTTAGAGGACTATCTAGGGAGAGGGAGGGGAGGCTAGAGAAAGAGAGAGAGAGAGAGAGAGAGAGAGAGAGAGAGAGAGAGAGGAGAGAGAGATGAGAGAGAGAGAGAGAGAGAAGGAGAGGAGAGAAGAGAGAGAGAGAGAGAGAGAGAGAGAGGAGAGAGAGAAGAGAGAGAGAGAGAGAGAAGAGGGCGCGAGTGTGACTCGAAACGTAACGTGCGTTGGGCAGTCAGAGTTTGGAGTTTTCAGGCTGTGCTATGTATCCAGTACCGTATTATACTCATGTGTGTATGTAGAATAAAACCTCTTTATATTTTATACACCATACGTGACTCTTTGGATCATCTCTGATTGCTGATTGTACGGAAGACGTACATTTCCACCATTACACCATATATGCGCGTGCACATGTTCATGGTACGCACACGCCCTATCAAAATCAGAATTAGTTAGTTAGTTAGTTATTACGCAGTTTAGTTTAGAATTAGTTAGTTACGCAGAATGAGCTAAAAACAGAAATCCTTTACTCTGCTGCGTGCCTCGTCAATTGATCCGAATCCAAACTAGTACGTGTTAATGAGGCTGATAGGGTCTATGTCCCCCAGGGTACTGCCGGAACGTACCCTGGGTACGGTCCGGTATACCGGAACGTACCCTGGTAACTATCTAGCTGATATGGTTAGGGTTAGTGTTAGGGTTAGGGTTAGAGTTAGAGTTAGGGTTAGAGTTAGGGTTATGGTTAGGGTTAGGGAGTAGGCGTAGGTAGACTCGTTAGTGGAGTAGGCGAGGTACGGTCCGGCATATTAGATAGTAGTATTTAGTTTACCCCAGGGTACGTTCCGGCAGTACCCTGGGGGACATAGACCCTATCAGCGTTAATGAGTATGCTCTTACACAGTGAATCCCATCCGTGCACGAATCATGATGTAATGCCTTCGCTATGCGCTCGTAAGCTTCGTGCATGCGTGTCGGCGGCCAAATTACCATACCTCCTCGATATGGGTGTGAAAGTGGCTGTCGAAGCATGTTTTACGTTAATTTTGCCTAAAGGATCTAGGGGGCGCGCTACTGTGGAATTCTAGAGTAGGTTTAAATTAGGTAAAAAAAATGTAAAGTCGGTAAACTAAACTAGGTTACAAAATTCGTGTTCGTCACACCAGTTTAACATGCCTATGGTGGTTAACAATCTACTCATGGTGGTAAAGATAGATAGGAGATATAGACCTATATAGACATATCATGTCTTCGAGTATGGGTAACACGGACATTTGGTACAGCGATCTTAGTGTCATAGGCCTCCTAAAGGGGCAGCCAGGTGAGAGAATGTTTATGTCGGTGTTTTATCTTATCAAATAAACCACGGAGTGGCTCAATAATTATGATCAACGCGGCCGCCTCTATTTCGTTATGAGCGGTCCCTCTCTATGTGACTCATATGTGACTAATTTCTGATAAATCACAGTAAACCCCATATATAACAGACTGAATCACACGTGGATGTTAGCATTTAAAAATAAAACAACAGTACAGTAACAGTGAATTGCATGACTATATTACCAATGAGAAATTTCGTTCCGAAATCGCTTTGCGTACGTCCACCGCAAGAATCCACCCCCAGCGTTAGATAATTGATCCGACAAGAATAATGTTTTATTTCGAGGCAACACATATGGGTTACATAATTTGTGAAATCTCGACGAACTAGAGATGTAAGAATGACTGCCGCCGTGTATACAGTTAAAGATTCCGACATTACACGTTACTGCCTTGCCAACATCGTTGTACAAAACATCGTTTACAAACGTCGTACCGATAGTTATACTTTCTTGGTAAAATCTTGAAATAAACGTGATCCCGAGCGATTTTGCCTGCCTGCCACACATGCATAGGTAGGTTTGCTTTGCCAATCTTAAAATGATTTTAAAAAAATCCCTAGATTACCCTTTGCAGTCCTATTTAAAGGGAATGCCATAGGCGTAGTGCCAATGAATGGAGGTGCGTAGAATTAGCGGTGAATAATATTTACAGATTCTATCAATCTGACATTAAACCCAAATGTTAATGATAGAGTTCTCTTACCTCTTAGAATGAGAACATACTCTATCCGGTATGTTCTGTATATACAGAATCAGATATATCGCGCTTCTACGCTATATAACGTAATAGGGAGACGTTACTAAAAGCATATATTATTCGAAAAGTCTACTATATTCGTTTACTCTATCGTCTTCTGCGTTAAAGCACTAGGAACATGTGTACTTTTGGTGTTATGCTAGGATACGCCCAGCTTAATGATTCTGTGCAAAATACTATAACAGGGTGTTTGCTGTCTATACACATCATGAACTCATCTATAACACAGAGCCTATTGGTTTAGATCCAGTTTTTTTTATTAAGATATATGGAAACAGCTCTAATAACTGAATAGTTTGTTATATATTACTGTATTATACTAACATAGAGTTGTTTCACTATACACAGAATGATATTTATGCAGAAATAATGTATCGCACAATCACATGCCTAATTGACTCCATCACTAACCTAAACGTCTATTTATTTTGTTCCAACGAATTCATTAAGTGCTTGGATTAAATGAATACAAATGAATATATTACATGTTTTACATGTTCATTTATAAGGATAAAAATAGATATGTTCTAGACTACTTAATCAATGTTACAACATAATGAGCTACTGTCTTACATTTATTATTGAGATATTATTAATAGAGTTTATTTGTGTTCACTTTTACAGATTTACTACGAATACACTATATGTGCACTCTCCGTTTATAGGTATATTACAAAACGACCCCATTAAAAGTTCCCATTGATATATATATATATATATATATCTACAATTTAACAAACAGACGTAAAACTGTACGCAACTTCATATCAAGCGGTAAAATGGTGGTTTACGTTAACAGCCAGGTCAAATCGTGGTTGCAACGTTCATCATCAAAATCTTTTCGCTTCTGCGTATGCTTTTTTTCATTTACATATGCAGGAAAAGATAAAATAAAATAATCGTTACGGGTCTAATCAGACACTAGACAATGTATTAATGAGAACCGGATAAAGTTGAAAAAGAAGAAGTAAAAGACAAAGAAAGAAAGAAAGAAAGCAGAAGCTATTGATACCAATAAGCAACTAACTGCAGCGGAACATAATGTCAGCATGCCCGGACATGGAGCACCTCATTCTTAGAGTTAAACTCAACCATGTCTAATAATAGCACCTAATACAACGTAATTATATGACTATGTATTACGTGGCTATAAATGTGTCATGGCATCACGCCTTTCTATATCAGCAAACATGCAACGCAATCGTAAATTCAGGCTTTATCTGAAATTTTACCGATAAATCAACACAATATATCTAGTAGATATATATAGATGTATGTATTTTGGTCACGTTTATACAAACTAAATCATATAGATGTAAGAATGAATGATTTTTGATTCTCCGGGATAATTTTGTTTTTAAGCTGCTGATGTTATATAAGATATACGTTTGACTCATATCCAACATAAACTAATTGTGCCGGCGATAAATGCATCTAGAGAAAAAAGCGGGGAAACAATTGTGCCTGATGGAAAGTATGAAACGCAAGTCGAGGACACATTATTTTCGTGTTTACTTCGAGATCTTGGTGACTCGAATAATGATCACGATTTTAGTGCCACTTATATCTATATGCTGTGTATTACGGCAAGACAGGGGCGTTATATTTTCAACTATCATTCATCGTACCGGCGACGCACATACATGAAGTATATCCACAGGAATTACCAATTCACTTCTAGGTGAAACTACTTCTTCGCCGCACATCTGAAAATCTCTTTTCAAATCGTACGCTTTTTTTTCTTCGACCAGCGCGATCAGCTGATATAGATGGCGACGACACGTCATGGTGAACGTCGGCAACGAGGTGTAGTTGCTGGTTCTGCTGCACCGTCTCGGAACCCAATCCCTCCTCGCCAGCATGTTTCGTTAGTACCGCACTTTCATCTGTTTCGTCTACAGCAGCGAAGGCGGCATTTCCGTACGCTGTGCTCCTCTTTCTTGCCACGTCGCTACGACGTCTCGTATTGTTGGCGAGAACGTTAGTGCCGTCGTCGCCGTCATAGTCGTCATCGTCGTCGTCGTCGTCGTCGTCGTCGTCGTCGTCGTCGTCGTCGTCGTCGTCGTCGTCGTCGTCGTCGGTCTCTTCGCGCTGTTTGAACGCGATCGCGCTGCTTTTGCGTCGCATCTCCGCGTAGTATGGGTTGGGGTTAGTCTTCTCGTCGCTGAACCGTCTCATGATCCCCTTCGTTGTTTCGTTAGACGAAATCTGCAAGGTACTCACGCGTCTTTTGAACTCGGCGAAAGCCTCAGGTTTCATGGTCATGCGACGGAAAATCTTATTCTCTTTGGGCCCCTATAAAGACGGGAAGAACTTAGATAAAAGAACCACTGAGGACGTAAAACACTTGAGGTTTATACGATCAATGCCATGGGAAATGGCGCTTACGAGGAGAAACGCTTCAATGTCAGGAAGAAGGCAACGAAATAGAAGAATAAGATAAAAGAAAAACAAGAAGAAGAAGAAGAAGAAAGGAAAGAAAGAAAGAAAGATGAAGAAGATGAAGATGAAGAAGAAGAAGAAGAAGAAGAAGAAGAAGAAGAAGAAGAAGAAGAAGAAGAAGAAGAAGAAGAAGAAGAATTAGCTATCTATCGACAACGCACAGAGGATTATTTAAAAAGAACATCTGATTTTTGAAAAGCATATTTGTAAAATGTGTATTTTTACATGTAAAGCAATCATTATTAACTCCCCTATTATTATTAAACTCATAGTCGATAATCTTGTTTTTGAACAAGATAAAAACACAAATTATCTAATTTAGAAGCAATATGAATTGAACTATTAGTTGACACTATATTACACTTATATAATATTACTAATATTACACACAATAAGTATTGTGTTGAATGTAAAACATGTAAAACATTACAATATAATTATTACATAAATATAAGTAATATAAATTCATTGGAAAATAATTCAACAATTTAAATTTTAACTATACATAGTTAAGACGTTCACACCTAAACTCCCTTTTTGATAGTTTACATTTTGTTAAATAATGCGAGTACTACCTACCGTGGCACAGTCACTTATCGCCTTATAAAGTATTTCGTGGTTCATTATTTTTCGTTTTTCATCTGTTTTCACTGAAATCTGACCGGCGAAGGAATGCATGACTCGTGGCGCCTCCCAGTGATGGATAACTTACCGTTAAGTCAAGCTCGCCCGTTTTGATCATCTGTAGTCGCTTTACCAATGCTTCCTCGTAGTTAACTATCGTTTGCCGCCTTTGTTTCGGGCGGTTTGCCATATTAACGATGGTCAGTCTTCGTCCATTCTCATCCACGGGAATCTCGTCATCTGGCCGTAATCCTAGCGAGTAATGCCATATCATTTTTTGATTATCACCACTATTGAATTAGTGCAATGTTTATAGCTTCACTAATGACCGCGTCACATTAGTACAGAGGATACGCTAAATCACAAGATAGGCATCTTATTAGAACGTCTAACGGGAGGTATTCGTGAGTATTGGCGATTGGCGTAATATAGTAGTTGGCCCAACTGCATTCGCGTTCGTCTTCGTCCGCGCCTGCGATAGTTTGCAGTTCCTTGACAAAGCTCTACACCGTTCATGTTACCGCTTGTTTATTCTTTGGTGTTTCCCACCACATGTCCGTAAGGGCTACGATGTGACTCATTGTTGTCCATCTATCGCAAATGATTGGTGTGATTTACAGTACAACTATACGATGTCAAGTTTAAACAGTAGAGCGTACTTACGTACGCTCTCCGCTGTAAATTGTGCTACTATAAATCCAAGCAATGCTGCCAATCCACGCGTGCAGACTCTCACTATGTTTTTCGTGTGATCCCCCATATTAGTCTATGTAGCCACCAATATTGTTAAGACATGCACCAAGTTATAGACTTTCAAGTACTTGACACTTTGAGGCGCCCATCTAAGGATTCGACTATATTAATGAATCGTTAACCCTTTAACGCTCTATTAAATATGTCCGTTTTCAAACTCATTTCCACTTCAAGAATGAACAGAATTAAGTCTAATTCTATCGTTAACACGAATCGCCAGCGAGTTACCTGTGTAAAAACATGGCCAACTAAGCTGCACTAGTAAGATTAGCACGTAGAAGACGAGGAGAAGAACCCGATAGGTTCCAAGAGGATCTTCTCGCACTGGAGTTCGTCCGAACGGCCAAGTAATATCGAGTTCGTTAATCTGCAGTTAAGAGCCCAGCAGTTATGATGAGAAGACCGTTGGCCATCGAGAAGAAGAAGACGGCTTTGTTACGCAGATTCCTTAGTGTCAACATCTACTTTAGCCTTCTCCTCCTTCTCCTCCTCATCAGTCTATACGAATGAAAACAGATTCATTAACGTCGTCTGTAACTGTCCTTACGTCCTTACTTGATATGTTCTATTGAATATATATATTAATATTATATATATATATATATATATATATATACTGGCTACCAATTATTCACAAAATCATCTATTTCCAGTAAATTCGTCCTAATTACTCCAATGATAACAGCGGACTGCAGTTTACTAGAGCAAGCCCGTTAATTGGAAATTCACTAGATGCGTGATCGATTTAGTTTGTCGATATAGTTGGGGCAATAAAGATGTAATTGCTTCTAATCGAAATGCGTTTCTTCTCACCAGTTTTGACGAGTACAGGTAGCGTGCTATGAGACCCTTCCAGAATTTGACATCTTCTTCTTCTAGGTTGGTGTAAACGCCATCCTCCATACAGTCATCAGTTATCCAGTCGGGATTCTGCAGGTCATCTAACGATAGATTTTCCTCGTTGCTCTCTGACGACTCTGTAAGAATCACTTAAACGCATCAAATAACATAAAGTCACCCGTTATACGGGCGAGAGTCTCGACTCTAAATTGTGAATTATTATTGTGGCTTTGTGAATTCACATAGTATCGTTGCGATTTAGAGACTTGCCATCGTCCTGTGGATGCTCTATTAGCTGACCCAAGGACAGTGCTTTCATCTTGAGCAACAAGCATTTGAATTGGAACGCTTGACGTTCGGGTACAATGCAGCAAGTTAGTTTGCAACATTCGGCCACAGGTGATTTGCACATAGGCACCGTCTTCTTCTCTTTTGCTTTTGTTTGGTTTAAGAATATTTAGAAACTGCCAGGGGGCTGTAGACTTTTGTTTCTCCTCTACTTTCTTAATTTTTTCCTTGGCTAGATCTTCTTTGATTTCTGCTTTTGCATTTTGTTTCTGCGACCTGGCCCAAAGAAATTATCGTTATTGTATTTTAACTGAATAATTAAGCTAAAATCTAACTAAATGTTATGTTAAAACCAGTTCACTCTTTAAACTAACAGCGAGTTATTCTTTATACTGTTCTTGTACTTTTTTCTCTTTATTTAATCGTTGTAAAAGATGAAGATCATTAAAGAACATGAGTTATCCATAAACTATACTGGTTTGTCATCTAATACAACTCATTATACCTCTCGCTGTGCCCCCAAGAAACATTGTTCAGATTGCAGATAGAGTAGATAATGAGCAGCATGTACATAGATGGAACGGAGTATGAAGTAGAGCACAGAAGTGAGGAAGACAGTTCATCACCTCCTCAGGATGCATAAACCCAGCCAATAAAGTTAGCACCTGTAAAATGTTACAGACAATGCCTCTATGTAAGTAAGCAATCTTTCTCATTCTAAGAAAACCTCCTATAGGTTAAGAATGCAAAAAAACTTTTTTTGTTCAGAGACATTATTTGTACAAAAAACTGGCCAACTAAATACAAAATAACAAAATAACAAAATAGCTAACATTATTGTTAGGCATTTCAATTTTGTACGATAACAAACAGTATTAAATTATTGATAATCAGTAGTGTTCATGCACATATATTTTTGATATTAAAAAAAGTAGAATATGTATTTTAAACTATTCACTACAGCTTTATTAACACGAATCAAAGGCATATAGACTGTTTATTTGCGCTCTTGTTATCTGCTCCCGAATATTTGGCTTAATTAAGATCCATTACATTCCTGCACCAGCTGTTCTTTCTAATATGCACACGAAAGAGATCGCCAGCCGTATATCGTGATGTTTTCCGCATTTACTAACCGATTATCAAAATAGGTGCACAAACGCTGTTGCGCGAAGTAGTCCATCGGTTTGGATCTTGTATCGCCATGCCGATGATAACGGTCATCATAACGAAGCCAGTAACAATGGAGAGCACTGCAGCATACTTTAAGCCTGTTGATGAATTCAACACAATAAATAATTAAGACAGCAGCAAAAAAGGTTGAAACGAGGCGACTAATAATATCCATTCCGATCCGCCTTATATGTTTTAACATTTACACGGGTTAATAACTGTCACTTTATGTAGTTCATCCTGTGGAAGTCAAGTAATGTTTCAGATGAAGCTTAACGTTGACTCTTAATTAGTAAAATGACACCATAAATCATTGAGAATCATTTTCTTGAAAAGAAATTTTCATAATCAACCGTGTGGTTTCAGCCACGGGGACTTTTGGAATTATTAGTCCATGTGATATAAGTAAAATCGTTGCTGCGACGTTTCGGCAATTTGTCTATGGCTCACGCCGACGGTCTGTGGGAACGGCAGCGAAGTTTAATTACGTTACACTCACCTGTACGTCCGACTTCGCGGTAAGACATACGAAGAAGAATCCGAAGACAGGAATGAAGTTAAGGAAGAATGCCGTCCAGATGTCGATGTCGAATGCTCCTGACAGTGCACCTACCAACATCATGAACGTCGTTCCGGGTCCAATGATACTGCTAGACAGCATCACTACTTGGTAGATGATGTACCTGTACCGTACCGTAATGAGATTTGATTACAGGTTGAGACTCACATCTTACCTTGAATTGTGGTTGGTAGTGTGTAAGCCTACGTGTTTTTATAGACACCTCTAGGGATAACTCTCTCTGTTTACCAATAATACGCATCACCATTATTTTGTTTATTTATACCGTATCGGAAGTTATAATAAACCCATAAGTGTCATCTAGGGTGGTCATAATAATAATAATAATATAATAATAAAATAAATAATAATAATAATAATAATAATAATAATAATAATAATAATAATAATAGTTAAATATAATAATAATAATAATAATAATAATAATAATAATAATAATAGAATATAATGAATAATAAAATAATAATAAATCATCTCATAATAGCGAAGTCTCCTGGCCCAGACAAGCTGCACATCTGGATAACATTTAATGCCCTCCATAAACAACTAACCATGGGCCTTTGAATGACACCATCAAGGATCCAAGCAATAGCCCTAAGTGGTTGACATCAGGAATCACTTTCCTTCTTTCAAAAGGCAAGGATACAAAAAAACCTAAAAACTATCGACCAATCACTTGCCTGCCTACCACCTACAAGATTCTCACTGCCTGCCAATCAGCAACCGCCTCTACAAACTTACAGAGAGCGACATTCTCACAGATGAGCAGAAAGGCTGTAGAGAGCAGTCTAGAGGGTGCAAAGACCAATTCTCATTAGTAACATGATTGTGAGCATGGCCAAAAAGCTCAAGAGGAACTAGGAAGGCGTGGATTTGATTATAAGAAAGCCTTCGACAGTGTCCCACATTCCTGGATTCTCGCAGCATGAGAATCTACCGTGTGTCACCAACCATCATTCAGTCATGGAAGCTTACATGAAGAAATGGAAGACTGAAATGCTCCTCTTCACTCAAGGAGGCTGCCTCAGGACAGAAGATATTCTCAATCAAAGAGAGGAATCTTCCAGGGTGACTCGCCTCTCTCCCCTCCTATTCTGCTTAGCACTAACACCGCTTACCAACATGTTGAATAGACAGGCCTGGGATTTACAGTCGATAAACACAATACCATCAGCCACCTGCTCTACATGGATGACCTTAAACTGTTCACCAAGAACGAATACGAGTTGGAGCAGGCTTGGTAACAGTCAAAGCATTCAGTGATGACATCAAATGGAGTTTGGCTTGGAAAAGTGTGCAACCGCCAATCTTAAAAGGTGGTAGCTAGAAAAAGTCGAAATATTGAGCTAATGACAGACAGCCCTACAAAGTCTAAACACGAGGACACCTACAAAATATCTTGGTGTAGACGAAAGTGATGGTATTCAGCATGCAAAGATGAAGGAGAACATTGCTAAGGAGTCTATCGCCGAGTTCGCCTACGTTCTCAAGTCTGAGCTCTGCTTAAAAACAAGATAACAGCGATCAATAGCCTGGCACTCCCAGTCCTTACAGCTTCGGGGTGATCAACTGGCTGCGATCAGATATCGAAAGGATGGATCGCAAGACAAGAAAGCTA